TCGCTTATAGCACCGATCTTCGTTTCTTCACTAGTCATATCTTTCACAACATCTATACTACGTACCACTCAATTACCAGGTCTCACGACGTTTGCTATAGGCACAAGTTTATTCAATGAAAAATCAAAGTCTAGGTTCGATCTCTAAGATCGAACCTCTTATTTATTAATTTTTGTTATAATAAACTTTCAAATTACTAATAAGATTAGCAAACTTTTACATCGCATCGAGTATATTATAGGGTTACACGACCTTATCACTATACATAATTACGTCACTAGAGTATATTCTTGCAGATCCTACTGTAATAGCTTCGCGGTCCCATTGGACCGCGAAATCATGTGCAACCAATCATAACCTGCTGTATAGAGAAAAAGCCGGCATTTTTGTCATATTTGAGTTATGCTAGAAGAAACCATGAACTTTATTATTTATCAGATTTAGCACCTGACAAATTTGTTCAGCATCAGTAAAGATAGATATTTTAATTGAATTTAATTATATGTGACTGATCAAATTTGCCAGAAGCTGAATCCGATAAGTTATAAATTTAAAACCTTATCGTTATATGCTGTCCATTGTGATTTTGAACTTTACGTTTTTTCAAAATAATAAAGTGAAGGTATTAAACGAATATGAAAATTGCGATAATGAAAGTTACTCTTGTTATAAAGAATTCTTTATATGGCGAAGATTAATTAAAATTTCGATATAAAAGCCAGTATATGTAAAGCTTTCCCCTAATATAGTGAGTGATTCATATTTATGATGAACATTAATCACGTGATCGATGATAACATTAATCACGTGACCGATGTACATCGATTCTATTTTTAGATTTTCGAAAAATTCTTCGTTCAAAAATCCGGGATCAAATAACTTACTTTAATACTATAACAATACGTTAAAAAAATAAACCAAATGAAAGTTCTTATGCTATATAATAAGATATATATAAAATCTCATTTTTGGCTAGAAGAACCTCGGAACTCTATTTTCCTAGCAAAGGCCCCATATGATCACCACCAATATAGATAATTCGATTATTATTTGTCCCGTCAATACAGGAAGTTGAGGCAGTTCTGTTAAATGGACTCGGAGCAAGGTTAACCCATGGCATTAATGCAATATCGTTTATTGTAAATGATTTTGAAACATCGAGATAAAAAAAGTCGGAACGAACAAAAGTTTCACTAATCCCCCCGCAAAAATATATCTTTTCATCGACGAGTACAGCAGCTTGTTCTGCCCTCGGTGGAGGAACGAATGTATTTACATTATTAATAATAAATAAAAAGCAAATAATAATTGTTAGCATTATAGAATTAATTATTTTGTTTTGCTAAAGTTCTGCTCAAGCTATCATACGTAAGATGTTTGCAATTTATATTATTGCGTAATTTGTGCAAATAATCATAATACTGTAATAAGAAAGTAATACAGATTAATCACAATTCGAATTTTCGATTTCAAAGGCAATAAATTAGAAAACATAATCTATTTTAAGAAATTATAGGAATTCCTCGTGAGAGATATATCTCCTAAAATTCCTTAAAGTTCACTATTTACATCTTGCTACATTTAAAAGACATAACACATAAATTTGCTTTTAAATTCTAAATTGTTAAGTTCATAATGCAATTATTTGGGGTCTTTCACATTAAAAGGGCCCATTTTGCAATATAAAAAATTTCAAGATAATTAAGTTTAATCATTTGTTTTGATTTTCGGACTGATCCGGGATTAACGATTTTGATTGGTTAAAAGTAACAGGTGACTATCGGGTAATTTCGAGATGTGCTTGGCCTTAGATAGCCTCATGTAATTTTTCTTTTACATTATCTCCATTTTTTATTATGTTAATCGCCTTTAATTTATAATTGAAAAATGTCAGTCATGTCAAAATTTATATTAATATAATGAAAACTCATTTTTTAAAAAAATTGCAAAATGGGCCTTTTTAATGTGAAACACCCCATTTAGGCTAGGTGCTGAAAAAAGGGACCAAATTGACAAAAAATAAGTTAGATTAACTCATAGAAAAATACAAATTTCAAAAGATTAACTGTAAAATTTTATTAATACAACAGCATTTCTTCTTTAAGTGAAAATGTTTCTGAGTTAATTTTAAATTAAAGCTTAAAAATTAATTTTGAAAAAATTGTCAATTCGGTCCCTTTTCCCAGCACCTAGCCCATTTATTTAAACAAGCAACAAATTTATGGCTCGATTACAGCAGGTTTAAACATAATCGCCAGTTTTATTATTTTTTATGCACATATAAACATTATTGATAATTTATAATTTTTATTCAGTTTTTTAACATGTCTAACAATTGGCTGTATTCGGACCTTGTGGAAATCCCAATGTAATCATTATTATCAGTAGTCTATTACATTATTTAAGTCTCATAATCTGTATTAAGAATCGTTCCAATATCGAAAATGACAGGTTTAGTATCAAATATATTTAACATAATTGTAATAATATAATTCTATTACATTTTTCTATAAAATTAAAGGTTGATTAATTAAGGTGAAAACTTTAAGCATCAAGAAAGAAGCCAATGTCAACACAAACAATATATAAGAAATAGTAGATTAATGAATATTACTTTATAAAATAGCCTCTCTTTAACAGCTTAGAAAGCCTAAAACTTAAAAGTTTAGAAAAAACCATGCTATTTTTTTACCAAAAAATCATAAGTGCGATAAGGAGAAAATGCTATTTATGCGAATAATGGTATTTAATTTTAATTAACAATTTTTATAATTAGGTTTTTGTCGAATTCGACTCGTTTAGCCATTTTTTCGCAATATAGTTAGCCAAATTAATATAGGTATAGACTGGATCAAATTTAAGAATTGATCAAATATTGTTCTATGTTTACTTACTGAACTATTGAATACATTAATTGAGGGCTGTTCATTTGATTCTTCACTATTCTTTTAATTTATAGATATAGATTAATAAAACATTATCAATAAGCTTTTAGATTTGTCAAAGTTTATATCACTAATATAGTTTACCTGCTCATGCTCATTTTCTACAATACTGCAATAATTAGATCATTGACTTTCCACACTATTTTCACTATTTTCAATTGAGTCATTATTCAAAGATTTCTTTAGACTTTGTCCGACTTCATAATCTTCGTTACTTTTTGATTGTTTAATTTTTTTTGGCAACTGAACATGAATAATCAGGTCCCACTTTCCATTTTGAGTTGTTCGGATCCTCATATTTCTTACAATACCAATTCCCAGAAGGAATTCCTGAGAGTTGAGGTTTTAAACAACTAATATGGAAACCCTCGTTACAACCATCGCATAGAAGGATGTTGCCTCGATTACCTTTCCATTTGCATACGGTGCAACCGCAATATTTACAGAATTCTTTTACAGTTCCATAACATTCTTCGCACTCGGACCATCCTTGTGACTCGTCATCTATTATTTCAATGTCTTCTGCTATGGATTCATTAACAGGTTTATCATTGACCTTTGATTTAAATTAATTAGATACTTGTTTTACAATTAGTCATTGACATTATGGTATAGAAAATTAATTCTTACTCTCTTTGATGAACTGATTTCATTAGAAATTTCACGAGACAAGGCTTCCTCATCACTACATTCATTTGATCCAGAATCGATGTGTTCCTTTAAAAATTTGTTAAATTATTATTTATGTATTCCATAACTCTATAATTAATCGATAATAAAGTTTAATATTCCTACTTGATAATTTAAATTTAAATTTTGTACTTTACCTCTATATATACTAATTTGAGTCTATTAGATTACAAACTAGTGACGTACAAATCTTCATGCAAGATAACGTACAAACTATAATAGTACAATTTAAGCTATATCGATATCGATATCAAATATTAAACTATCATCTATTAGGCACAAATTATTAATATACTTGTTACATTGCAGATTTGATCAATATGCTACCGTTACCTAACCAATCGCATTACTGCAAGTGCCCACATAACGAATCTTGATTTAGTGTATCGTCATGCGATCAGAAAATTCAAAACAAACGTTCGTTTTGAAAAAAAACCGTCTTTATCTCAATATTTTGCCTAAGAAAACAGCCCTGCACTAACAAAAAAATTCCTTGGGCAATTTTACTATAGCCCCTTAATCTTTAACATCTGTTTAAACGCTGCGCTGATAAGGAACCTAAATCCTGATTATAGGCATTGAAATGTCGACCTGCCTTATTTCTATTGACGACTGCTCATATGGTCCTATATTGTCCCTTATATGTAAATTTCCCTTAAAATTTTCTTTTATTATCTATTTTGAGGTTGCGTGCACAAATGTTATGATTAATAGAAGTATTTTAATGAAATGATAAAGTGGCAGTAAGATCTCTGGTTCTTGGACCAATCTTTCATTTTTTTCGAATAACCTTTACTAAAGAAAGATTTTATATAATGCAAAGGTGGTTCCTTATATTGAAGCTTCAACTTAAAAAAAATGCGAAGAATTTTCTTATCATATCTTCACATTATACACGCGTTCGCGTTGTCTGAAAAAAATTATTGGCTAAATCGCAATGTTTTTAATTTCCATTTCCATTTTCGTAAAAGACAAAAAAATATGATTGGTTAAAATCGAAATTTTAATTTCCATTTCCATTTTCGTAAAAAATGACAAAAAAATATGATTGGTTAAAATCGCAATGTTTTTAATTTCCATTTCCATTTTCATAAAAATAGTACGTACATAAGCAACAACGGAATTTAAAGAATGCATATAAAAATTTTTTTTATTAGGTGATCGCTAAATTTTGATTGGTCGTGCGAAAGTTTTTAGGTTGTCAAAGCTAGGACAGTTAATGTATATCGATATATCTTTTGTCGAATTTCTATTAGTAAAGCCAGTAAGCATTACCGAAACTATTTGTAACATGTATAAAAAATTTTAAAGCAATTGAAGGGACCGTCTACAAGAATTATAAGGTTGATTCACATGACTTTTTCTCTGCCTTCTAACCTCTGCTCATAAGGCAAAGGAGGAACCTAAAAAAAGGCAAAGATAAGGTCACGTGATAAAGCCAGATGAGTTTCAAGAAAAATCAACAACCGATTAATACTTTGTTTTCACTATGAATAAATATGAAGTGGGTTTGAAGCTTTATCCTACTATTATATATTACATTGCACTAGTAACGCGAACCAAAAATTGACAGATAATATAATATAGATTAACTCGAAGATTATTTATATTATCAATAATTTATGGTTCGCATCACTACACTGCACCATACAAATTAAAAATGAATCGTTTCCTACTACAATTTTTTGCACTCAGGCACCACCTTCACACCTTCATTAATGATTCTTTTTTGAATTCAGATATTCATATTATCTTGTATTTAAACATCAAAATGAACAAGATAGTAGTACATAACTTTCGTACTGAAATAATGGCTTTGGATATAATTTGGAAGAATAATTTTAAAGGGGATTAATAATCCACCTCTGTTTGTGCTCAAAAAATTAAGAAAAAATTTTTTATTGGAATTTGCCTAAGATCAATTTTTTGTTGAGATATTTGACTGAACTCCTATTTTTTTTTGATAAGTAACTAGAATGAAATCTATTAATCTTTTCAGTTAACTTTTGTAACTTACAAATGGATTCTTCCCTCATTCAAGTACTATGAACTCGAGTATGCTATGATCCAAAATGTGACAATTCATTAAAAAGTTAGCATATCTTAAACTCTGTTCATTCTCCGACGGCATCAAGATGCCGTCAGAGAATGAACAGAGTTGACACTATTTTGAATTACTTCAAAGTTCGGCGGTATGTAATTTATTTTGGCATATAATAATTGTGGGGGCTGATGCCACTTATACTCTTTTATTAATAAACCTAACCCTAAATTCCAATCTAACTATTACAAAAAAGCTAAAAAAATGCATCCCAAAAAATTTTAGAATTTTCATAATAAAATATTAAAAATTTTCAGCTTCAGCCAATTTCAGCTTCAGCCACCACAATAATTCAAATTGGCTAATTTTTAATGCTCTAAATAGGAAGTTACCAAAGATAAATAAGTGCTAACAATGATTATGTTTACCAGAATTACAAATTAATTCTATCAAAATTATGTTTACTAGAGTTACGAATTAATTCTACCAAATTATGTTCACCAGAGTTACGAACTAATTTATGTTTACCAGATTTACGAATTAATTCTATCAAATTTTGTTTACCAGAGTTACGAATTAGTTCAACCAAAATTATATTTACAAATTAGTTTTACCATTTAAAGGTTTCAAAAATCATTGTTTGCTTAGCCTTATCAGTGAATTTAACATGTAAGAATGAGTATATTATATATTACTTTAACATCATTGATGAATTAAACACGTAAGAAATACTTAATTACGAGTATATTTTGCTTTAACAACAACATTCAAACGTTTCACAATTTCATTGTGATATTACAATTCATTAAAAGTTAGAGTCAGTTCGTTCTCTGACGACATTGTATAATATTTTTTAAAGCTTGTATATTTTTTAAAGCTTGATTAGCAGAATTCATTGATTTGCGAGTTTTGTATTTGAAGTTCTACAGTTTTAGATAAATTTGATAAATTTGATAAATATTATATCGATATGCGTAGTTACCTAATTTGATGTAATTTTAACCAACATTTTTAACTAATATCGATATTGCTATGGACAGTTTGAATTACAAATTAATTACCCATGTAACTTATTTATACACTTTAGTGTACTTTTTGAGAACGCTAAAAATGAATATTAGTATTCACTCTTCAAAAGAATTAAAAAGAATAATATTACCTATCGACTTTATTTAAAAGACAAAATATATGAACGTTTATTGAACCATGAGAAATTATACTGTATAGTGAAGGTAATTGAAATATCTTTGTCTAAAACTATTTCACTATTTTAGATTTAAAATAAACATTTTTAATGATAAACCTCAATTCATTATTTTCTCTTTCAAGGTCATAACTTTCATTTAGCAAGCTTCATAATATCTCTTTCTTTGTCTCTTTTTGAGACTCATTTTTTCTCTAATTTAGTATGTACTAAAAATTAACAAACAATTAATAATCTTAATTGTTTTTATTAAATGAATTTTCTTTAATATTCGATACCTATATTGTTACTCAAGATCCAATTATTATTTGCACTCTTCTTTATTTTCACTCATTTGTACTTCTGCTGACCCATGATAACAATTTCAGTCTTAATTCCCTATTTTCATTTTCTAACGTAATAAAACTACAAATATAAAATGTAATTAATTTATATAAAATTTTCTTAAGTTACCTAATAATTAAATTTATATCTTGCTCTAATTGCTCAATTCTTTTGTCTTTTGATTCAATTTCGATTTCCATTTGATCTATTTTTGGTCCATTTCACTTTTCATTCAGTCTACTTGATTATTCAAACCCTGTACTATTTGTTCAAAATTATTTGTCAATTTAATTATTTCATTTTCCAACTCGTTAATTTTCGATAATTAATAAACCTCTCAGATTAAATATATTATAGAGGCAATTTAACTTCTCAGTTTAAATATATCATCATTAAGGAAATTGAGGAAGTATACAAAGAGAAATTAATTTTCTGTTTAAGAAAAAATAAAAATTTAAAATTTAGACAACTCATCTTTTTAATAATCTATTTCTCTTATATCAACTCAGTTTTCTTCACTGCAGTTTCACCCGCTCCAAAAACACTTGTTGCTTCGTAACGAGTTCCTTCATTGCAGTAGTTCCATGAACTTGTATAGCTAGAGACGGAGACTTGATAAAATCCCGTCTCTTTTTGCTTAACACAAGATTGAAGTGAATATCTGAACAATTGTAAGGAAATATAGTAAATGCAAAATAAAATACAGAAAACTTTCCTTTTAAACATGATGGCTTTTCAAAACTTGCAGGAAAGAAGGGTTGTGTATTTAACTGGGGAGTAAGATGATTTAAGGGAAAATTAAGTAGGGATCAAAACAAACAAGTTGATTGGTCATTATCACGTGATTGCTCTCTGGTAACTTATTTATACACTTTAAAGTACTTTTTAATAACGTAAAATTTCACAATAGCTTTAGATACTGGATGATCTTAAATTGTATGAAATAAAGATACAGTAAGTAGGAACGTTTTTGTTCAAGGTTATATAAGTAAATTTATTCTAAAAAATTCTAAAAACTGATTTAAAAGCTGATTATTGGTTTTACACTATATCACATATTTGGCTCATTTATACGTATCAATAAAATTGCATTCCTCGTGACTAACAAAATTAAATTATACGGATCATCTCCACTTACAAAAAAAATTTCAATACGTATTAAAAAATTGTAATAGTTATTATCGTTATAGGCATAAATAAATGAAAGAATAAAGGCAGAAAAAAAGCATTCTTTATTATAACTTTTATATGATTTTCGTTAAGAAAAATATATTATATTTTATTGATTTTTTTAATTGATTTATTGCAAAATATTTTTACATCATTATATATAAGTTTTAAAAAAGAATCTAAATTTTGTGTTTTTGAATATATAGAGGAAGTTAAAATATAATTTTAAACTTTGGTTAAAAGAAATTATTAAAAAAATTCTTTTTTGACAATAAAATATAAAGATCATTTTTATACGAATAAAATTCTATAATCATTTTAATGTTTAACGCGTATGGTGAATAACAACAAATAAAAGAATAGAGAAGGAATAATTATTAGTTAATTCTATTTCGTTGACAATAAAATATAATATTCATCTTTATATGATGTCTTTTTAAAAGCTTTGTTTTCTTTCACTCAATCATAATAAATATCATCAATTATTACTATTCATAAACGTATTCATAAACGTATTCATAAACGTATTCATAAACGTAATATTAAAATAAAATAAATTAGATAAGCACATAATATTCGATGTTAGACCCGCTTTTTTTGACCTTATTCCAAGAAAATGATATAAAACATTAGCATATATTGTTTAAATCAATTTAGGTTGTAAATAATAATTACCCAAATTCACACTATTTTTGGTATTGAATGCTCTTCAATCTCGAAAAATTAAACAGGTTTCTATCATTGCTATGATATCCCCACAAGTTCATTCTGCACCTTAAATGTATTATTAATGTATTTCTAAATAATATAATTTTATGGACGATAAAAATTAAATTCTGTAATTATCGGGTAATTAGTACAGTCGATTTTGTGCAAAATCCGATTGCAAATAATTCTTCATGAAGAATTTAAGAAAATATAGAAAAGTGAATCATACCAAATATTTTACTCCTTACCCTTTATTATTTATAAAATAAAATACTCTGTATTGTGATGAAATTGGGTATTCGTACATACGAATTACAGCATCTTTTATTAAGAAAAAGGTTACGTATCAAGGTAGTAAAGTGATTAACATTAATATTTTTTAATATTTTATATTAAAGATATCTTGATAAGAGATAATTATGAATTTTCAAATGCTTTTTGATACACACCTATAAATATACATATAGAAATGTCACGGATGATGACCTATTTTGATATAAAATGATAAATATAGAATAATTCAGGTCGTTATTTTTTATTCAGACCTTAAAGTGTTTAAAATCCTCTGTTAGTGAGGTCAAGGATATTTAAAATTATAATATGCAGGCATGAAAGTTACTTATTCAATTTGAAAATATTTAAAATTCTCTTTGGAATAACAAGTCGTAATTTAAAAATATTCAGATTATAAATATTACCTGAATATAACTTTCATTTATCCAATTATGACCTTTGTTATCAAGAAGAGCTCAAAATGTCTTTATCGAAACTACCTGAATATTTTTTATACTAGCAAAGAATAAAAAAGAATAAAAATGAATAAAAATGAATAAAAATGCTTTTTGAGTAATATCTTATGACGACTATTTTTTATATTACAAAATATTTACGATCCGATATCGATATCGATTACGATATTATTAGCATTAGTGTTAGCGATATTTCATACCATGCTACAAATTCACATGTTACTAAAAACTATGTGACACATATCAATTTTATTAACATCAAAGCATGATCGAAAAAAAGTAGATATGCTAAATATAAAAATATTATTCAACTTTAAGGCTGTTATATGTCAAACTAAAACTTGCGTCAGATCAAAATTTATTCGATTTGAATCTTATGGGTCATTCACGTGACCTCAGCTCTGCTTTAAAGTTGGCAAAGATAAGGTCTTGTGATGAGATAAAAAAATATAATTATTAACTATAGAGCTGATAGTTATAAAGCAAGATATCGGGTATTGGAATCCGTGTGATATAAAGTTTATATTTGTAAACATAATGTCCAATAACCCCAAAAAATAATTTTTTAATAAAATTACCACCCACACACTAATTAATTCTAAGGATCGCCTTAATTATAGAATTTTTCATTTCCTGCGGTAATATCGAATTTGGATATTTTGGAAAATTGCTCTAAAGTTATTAAAGAAAATAATTATTATTATTGATCATACTTGATTAAGTTATATATAAAACTCGTTTACCAGAATAAACATAAGTTCGTTTACGTAAAATAGGCAGCATATTAGATAATAAGCGACTCGTATATATGGTCTCTGAATGTATAAATTCCATATTTTCTGTTTTATCTGCACTAGATCGGATAATCATTTTTCTAAGCGATTCTGCCTCTTCAAACTGCGCATTTCCAGAATTTTTCCATTTAATTAATGCTTTATATAGTTCGTTAATGTTTGGTCGATCAAGGGGATTATTGTTCCAACATCGAACCATTAACTTTTTGAAACATTCGGGTGTATCACCAGTGATGATTGGTCGATGTCCATCCAATATTTTTAAAATTAAATCTGTATTGTGTGATTAATTAGCAAATGGTTTTTGTCCAGAGGTGAATTCCCACATAAGCATGCCAAAGCTATAAATATCAGTTGCTTTTGTATAAATTTTTTCATTAAATACTTCAGGTGCAATATATGGTACAACACCATATATTAATTTTGAATTTGTTGACTCATTGGCTGGCTTGCACAGTCCTAAATCACTTATAAATGCATGGTCTCTATTAGATAACCTTTCTATATATATATTTCTGCTGTATAAATCACGATGATCCAAATTTTTATCGTGGATTACTTTAAGGCTATAAAGAAAGTAATAATAGTTATTATCGAATTCTAATTAATTATAATCAAATTATACGTTTATTAGAGATGTACCATTTATATGTTACCAGAATTTTTTTTCGCACACTGTACGTAGCATATAGTACGCGGCACATCTCTACATTTATTATATATATTTGCGTGTTAAATTCAATTACCTTTTCACGATATCAAATAACAATTTTAATTTTATTTTTCCAAGTAAGTTTATTATACGATTTTTTCAAGTAGTCATATAAATTTCCACCAGAAACATATTTTGTTACAATTGAATAATTCTTATTAAACGGGTCGCGTGTAATTCCATATATTTGAACTATACCATTATAATTTTTGAATTTCTTATGAGAATCTGCCTATAATAAATATAATAAATAAGGAAAATGCATTCAGTAACATCATGTTCATATTTTTGTTGCTTCTATTTACCTCTTTCAAGAAATCGACATTTATATTATCAGAGTTATAAAGGCTTTTGAGAACAACTTCAATGTGTTTCCATTTAGCTTTGTACACAACACCAAAACCACCTTTTGATAAATATTTAATATCCCGAAAACAATTATATGGAATCCATTGAAATTGCTCTCCTGTTGATCTTAAAAAGTCATCAATTATTTGGTTTCCACTATTGCCTAAATCAAACTCATCGATACACATCTCACATTGATTATAATCATTTTTTGAAATTTCCAGATTTTCTACATAATGAACATATGGAGTGTCTTCAATTAAAAGGGCCCATTTTTACAATTTTTCAAAAAATGAGTTTTTGTTAGATTCATATAAAATTT